AGATAATTTCCACGAGTCAAACTTTATGCCAGAAAAATTTATATTGACTATACTCATAACTATTGAATTAGAATTTTTGATATTTGTGTAATCAGGAGTCCACAAATTCTCCTATATTATGTATGAGCTTTCTCATTTTGAGGCAGGCTCATGATGAAGACACATTACAAAGGTAAAAGAAAACATAGTATCATTATTTTTAGCAAAGACTTCTGCCTGAAGTTCCAGTGCAAAAGTAGGAAGCAAGGGTGAACCACGTGGAAAACCATGTAAAACATTAGGAAATTAGGAATAGCCTATTTATAGCTTAGATACAAAGCAAGTCCAACAGTTTTCTATACTTACTAAGTTCAGCCTAGATAGCGGATCTTCCACTGATGGTGTACATAAACCAATTCAAGGTGTACTGGTGCCGGGGAAAAAGTCAATGCTAACTCCATGCTAACTCTCTGGGCAAAAAAAAAAAAAAAAAAAAAAGAAAGAAAGAAAGAAAAAATTATTATAGCCACACAATCAGTAAATATTATTCAGTTTTAGGTTCTGCTCTTGGAAGGTGTGGTCAACTTAATATCCTTGAACTTAACCAGTGCTGCTACTCTTTGGCAGGTCAAGGTTCTTATCTTTTTTCCTGGCTCATCCTTCCCTAAGGGATACACTGTAGAACCATCAGTTTAAACTGGTTAATTGGTAAGTTAGAGGCACCATTGATTCTGAAAGGGAACAAAGGAGAAAGATTCTATGCACAAAATGATAAAGCACACTCAAATTGAATGACTTGTAAGTGGGTGGGGTCTTCTCCAGGAATTCTTCGCCTGTTCCAATATCTTGAAGGGCTTCCCCTATGCTCTCAATTAGTTTCATGGTGTCATGGTGCCCCAGAGGCACGAGTAATCAAAGATAAAATAAACAAATGGGATTACCTCAAATTGAAGTGTTTCTTTACAGCAAAGGAAACAGGAAAGTGAAGAGGCAACCGACAGAATGGGAGACATTATTCGCAAACTACACAACAGATAAAGGATTAACAACTAGAATCTATAGAATGATCAAAAGACACCACAAAATCAAAGCAAACAACCCAATAAAAAAATGGGCCAAGGACCTTAACAAACATTTTTCAAAAGAGGAAATCCAAATGGCCAACAGACACATGAAAAAATGCTCAGGATCCCTAGCCATCAGGGAAGTGCAGATCAAAACCACAATGAGGTTTCACCTCACTCTGGTTAGATTGGCTTACATACAGAAATCTACCAACAACAGATGCTGGCGAGGATGTGGGGAAAAAGGGACACTAATCCACTGTTGGTGGGAATGCAAACTGGTAAAGCCACTATGGAAAACAGTTTGGAGAGTCCTCAGAAACCTGAATATAGCACTACCACAGGACCCAGCCAACCCACTCCTTGGAATTTACCCAAATGGAATTAAAGGGGAGAAAAAAAGAGCCATTTGCACCTCAATATTTGTTGCAGCTCAATTCACAATAGCTAAGACATGGAATCAACCTAAATGTCCATCAATGGATGACTGGATAAAGAAACTATGGGATATGTACTCTATGGAGCACTATACAGCAGTAAAAAACAATGAAATCCGGGCATTTACAACAAAATGGAGGAAGCTGGAAAACATCATGCTGAGTGAAATAAGCCAGTCCAAAAGGGACAAATATCATATGTTCTCCCTGATCGATCACAACTAAACGAGCATCTAAAATGATACCCATTGAAGTGAAATGGACACTATGAGAGACAAGGACATGATCAGCCCTTGTCTAGACTGTTGAGGAACAACTTACTATTTTATTCCTTTTAGTATTTTTGTTGTTGTTGTTGTTGTTGCTCTGTTTGTTCTACATAGACCACTGGTTGAACTCTGTAATCAATGCACAATCATTCTTAGGCATTTAAAATTAACAGAAAAGTGATCTCTGTTAAACATAAGAGTGGGAATAAGAGAGGGAGGAGATATATAGGTTGACACATGCTCACTCGGACTTACCTCCAATGGTGGAACTAGAAATGTGCCAGGGGATTTCAACTCAATCTTACCAAGGAGGCAGGTACCAATGCCAGCGCACTTGGTAAAGTGATAAGTATAAATACACAACTGATCAGAAAGATAGGGTATGTGTTGATGAGATTCCACAAATAAGACCAGTGTAAGCAACTAATGAAGGATAGAATTAAAAGGGAGAGAATGATCCTGCGGGGGAAACAGGACACACAGCAGACTCATAGAATGGCAGCATTCCTGCCTCAGAATCAACCCTTGGGACATTCGGATCTGACTAAAAGGTCCATGAGAGTCTCACAGGCATGGAAAGCCATGACACGGTGGCAAAAAAAAAAACAAAAAACAAAAAAACAAAAAAACAAAAAAACAACAACAACAAAAAATCTAAATGAAAGATCCTGGTAAACAAGACCCCAGCAGAAGGAACAGGCCATCAAGGAGAGAGGCGCCTTTCTCTGAAGGGAGGAAGGAACCTCTACTGTGATACAGCCTTGACTAAACAAGTTCAGAGTCGATGAACTCAAAGGGCTTCCATAGCCTAGACAGCTCATAGCAAGAGTCTCGGGTGATTGCTGACATCATAAATAAGAGTGCCAATTGTTAAATCAACAACGGGCGTCACTGGGTACATGCTCCCCACGTAGGATCTCTGCCCTTAATGTGTTCTACTATGAAACTTAAAAACAACACTACAAGTCGAACAATACCCTATACCTTGTGCGGTTGTGTGAGTACAGCCTGTTGAAATCCTTGCTTAGTATATATTAAGTTGATCTTCAGTATATGAAGGTAATTGAAAATGAAACTCAGCCGGCGCCGCGGCTCACTAGGCTAATCCTCTGCCTTGTGGCGACGGCACACCGGGTTCTAGTCCTAGTCGGGGCACCGGATTCTGTCCCGGGTGCCCCTCTTCCAGGCCAGCTCTCTGCTGTGGCCCGGGAGTGCAGTGGAGGATGGCCCACGTGCTTGTGCCCTGCACCCCATGGGAGACCAGGATAAGCACCTGGCTCCTGGCTTCGGATCAGTGCGGTGCGCTGGCCGCAGCGTGCTGGCTGCGGCAGCCATTGGAGGGTGAACCAACAGCAAAAGGAAGACCTTTCTCCCTGTCTCTCTCTCTCTCACTGTCCACTCTGCCTGTCAAAAAAAAAAAAAAAAAAAAAAGAAAAGAAAAAGAAAATGAAACTTGATGAAGGGCGGGATGGGAGAGGGAGTGGAAGAGGGGAGGGCCATGGGAGGGAGGGAGGTTGGGGGGGGAGCCACAACAATACAAAAGCTGCACTTTGTAAATTCACATTTATTAAATAAAAAAAAAACTATATAACAAACAAAAAGAAACAGGAAAAAAAAGAACTTAATACTTTACCCTTTTAGTATTTTTTATGTTCTACTTAAAACTATTGGTTGAACTCTGTAATTAATACACAATTACTCTTAGGTATTTAATTAATGCTATAACTAGTACTCAAATAGTATTTTACACTTTGTGTTTCTGTGTGGGTGCAAACTGTTGAAATATTTACTTAATATATGCTAAATTGATCTTCTGTGTATAAAGATAATTGAAAATTAATCTTGATGTGAATGGAAGGGGAGAGGGAGTGGGAGAGGGGAGTGTTGTGGGTGGGAGGGAAGTTATGGGGGGGAGCTATTGTAATCCATAAGCTGTACTTTGGAAATTTATGTTCATTAAATAAAATAAAATATAAATATAAAAAAAAGTAAGTGGGTGGGTAGAGTTTAAAAGAAAACAAAAGACATTAACTGCCTCTTGGACAGAAGGGTTAGCAGGAAAAAGTTGTTACTGGAGCCCAAAGGTGGTGGTTGGTTGCTATGAATTGAATATTTGTGGCCCCCTCACCCCAATTCACATGTTGAGTCCTCAATGTGATATTTGTGGGTGGGAACTTTGGAAAGGAATTAGGTCATGAGTGTAGGGCCCTCGTGAATGAAACTAGAACTTTTGTAAGAGGATGTATGAGGAAGACAATCTCTCTGCCATATGAGGATATAGCAAGAGGGTAGTTGTCTGTGAACCAGGAAGAGGGCCTTCACCAGGAACTAAATTGGTCAGCACCTTGACCTTAGACTCCCCAGTCTTCAAAAGTGGGAGGAATACATTTATGTTGTTCAACCTACCCAGTTTGTGGAATTTTTTTATAATAGCCTGAAATAACTATGGAGAGAGCAGCCTGACACAGGTATTACTTTAATTATAGTCAGTCATATTGACTTAGAAGATAAGGCATAGGTGAAATAAAAACTCAGATTTCACTCTTATTTTACCCTTCAATATTTTGTTGATGTCCTCTTTGGCTCAACTCAGCAGGGAAGAAAACCTTCTCATGAGGTTCACATGAGTTAGGCCAGCTGGGCATACCTGGATGGGGAAAGTGGAGCAATGATTTGAAGGGGTAATCAGAAGATTTCAACCTGATGTTTACTGGGAAATCAGTGATGAGTGAGATAATAGGGAGAAAACGACTCTCAGTTCGTAAGAAAAGCAGAACTAATGGTAAATACTGGGATACAAGTTATGGTATATTTACTAATAAAAGGCATAATTTTTGCTACTTTTTAGCTATCAGGTACAATGCTGGATGTCTTCATATATTAGCTCATTTATTCTTCACAATAACTCTAAAAGAATTACTGACATTCTGAGGTATTTACTAGTTCAGGTTCTTTAAACTGGCATTTAATGGCTGCGTATCTATTTTCTTTACCCACACAGTGTTTTAAAATCAGAATTCACACACAAAAATAATTCATCTTTCTAACTTCTCTGAAGAATCAGAGCAAGGTTGCATTTCCTATAAGGTATAACTGAGTGCTAATTTTCATCATTAAATTGGATATGAACTTTGGCACAATCCCCACCACTCTCTATTGCACTATTTTATTATAACTTCCAGATTAGTTCATTTACATTACCCTCTAAGTACTTTATTTTCAACGCTAATCTACTCTATTTTATTTTACAGATTAATTACTTAAGGCATGGAGAAACTGAAGCCTTGTCCAATATTTCACATGTAGATTGTGCCAAAGCTGTCCCTAAAAATTAGGTTGGAGGCTTCTGCATCAAGTTATTTGTTAAACCAAAGCGTAGATTGCCATAATTTTATGAGAACACAAAGCAGCATTATAAAGACATGGAAAAAGATACATACCTCATGAGAACAACAACAACAAAAAGACTAGAAATAAACACCCATAAACTGTGTTTGGTCAACTGATTTGCAGTAAATATGCCAAGGTAATTCAATTAGGAAAGGAAGATCTTTTCCACAAATGGTGCTTGAACAACCAGGCTAACCACATGAAAAAAGGAGCATCTATCCCCGTCTCTCATTATATACACAAATTAATTCATGATGGAGCATAAATGTAAAATCTAAAAGTATAAAGCTTCTGGAAAGAAACGTAGGAGCTAATCTCTTGTAAATATTGCTAAATGTTTCAATTTATAGTATACATCTCATTAGAATTTCAGATTGTTAAGAGAGTCTCTTTGGAAAAATTAACTCATTCGTAAAACTAAGATCAATGAAATTAAACAGATCTGCTAGTCTTTACAATGTCTTTATATCTTTGTGCTTTCTATATAGCAATTCCTTAATAATTACTCTTGAATGCACAGGTAAATGAATATATAATTAAATGGAATATTTCCTATTGTAGGGGAAAAAGAAAACAAGAAAGAAAGAAAAGCAAGAAGCAGGAGGGGACACAAATGCCCCAGCTACAAAACAAGGCAAGTTTATTGGAGAATAGGAGGATTTCTCATATGTGATGATATAGACAGGGTCTGGAATACCTAGTAAAAAGTGTGTAAGAAAATAGAAGAATTTAAGAAAAAAAGAGCAAGAGATGAATAAAAGGTGATGACAGAAGTATTGTTAAGTGGTTAGAATATTCTGAATCTTTCCCAAGGTTCTATTATCAGCTTATTTAATTTGAGTCTATAAAGTTTATTTGGAAACTTCCTAAAAGCCTCTTCTCTTAGTATATTTCTATAAAACTAATAATTCAAGTTGCAGAAACTATTTCTTTGTGCAATTTTAAGTCCTCTCACAGGCTTACTTTATCTCTGTCTATGGCATGCTATAAAAGCTTAAGATTTGTCTCCCCAATGTGAGTCATACTGGGCTCTCTGGCCTTGGCCATCAAACTCTGTTAAGGCAATAGCTCCACACAGCGTTGGTTTAAAACAACCCTATTGTTAAAATATAAAAACTCTGGGCTCAAAAACACCCACAGTCCTTTCTTCTGACTGAATCAATTTGTAAATTACAAAAACAAAAAAAAAAAACAACCTAAGTATGAAGTTGAATGCGGTTATTTTTCATTTTCTTTTGCTTCTTGGACTCCAGATCTCTTCACCTGCAAAACAGACATCTGGATTTATAATGATGAAAATAGTCTCTCTTTTCCCCTAAAATATTCATTTTAGCAAATTACTGTGTTCGTGGTTCCTTTACAGCAGGCATTCATTGTTCTGTGTCTCATATAAAGTTAAGAGCAGAGTTCTTTTCGGATTATGCTGTCTTGCTTCTGAAAGGGTGCATTATTGAGAACTTCATTCTTTGTTCTCCTGTTGCTTTGGAAATATACTGTGTTCTTTAATAGACTAAATCTATCATTTCCACTTTTGATCATTTTCTTTCTAAAACAATATCTTATTCTGCTCTAAATTTGCTCTTTCCCTCCTTTCCTTTTTATGTTATCACTCCTGTGTTTATTAGGTCTTGATGATCTTTTCCATGTCCTTTAATGCCCCCAAAATTAACAGACAATCTGAATTTGGACAGCAAGTTCATGATCACCATCTAATCTCCTTTTCAAATTTGTTTCCTTTTTGAGTTACTTCTTTTAGGATGGAAACTTACCTTTGTTCCTTGAAGAAACTGGAATAGCCAAATAAGAGTTTAGCTTCTAGGGTAAAAAGATGTAGAAGCACGAAAGAGCACGCTTGGCAAATATTCTCTACACAGTGTCACAAACAGCTCACATGACGTCTTCCCAACATTGCTCTAAGCTACATTCATGTAAAATATGTCTTATAATGAAGAACTTGGTATAAAACAAACCGTATGCTGTCAACTTTGTCACACTATAGGTCAGGGTGAAGAAAATATGAACTGTATTTGCAAGGATTATGATCCAAAACAGTGATATCTGGCTATCAGAACTTTCTGTGGGGTAGGCTTTTGTATCTGTTGAAGTTGGTGTCTTCTGGGTGAGCTCTTCCATAGAGCTGCTCTTTCTGTTGTCATCTGAGGACTCAGAAGAATTTGGCATTTCATAGAAAATACAGACCACAGCTACAAAGAGCTTGTATAGCAAGTTTGCGAATGAAAAGAGACCAACCAGCCCATACAGCTCTTCCTCCCCCTCGGAAGCTCTCCAGGGGTTGCCTTCCTTATTTAGAATCTGATTGATTTTCCCAAGACATATTTTGGTATTGGTTTTTGATAAAGTGATAAAATTGATTCTTTTTTAAAATCAACTTTTAAGAAAAAAGTACAAGTAGCCTAACATAGACAATTTGGACAACAGATAAGAATAAGCAGAAAAGTTTTATTAATGGATTTTTTTGTGGGTTCCATGCTGTGTAATGCTATACACTTTAGACCCATTTTGCCATTTTGACAAGGCAACTACTATGAGATTTTGTATTATCCATGCCTTACAAATGGGGCTGAAAACATGAATTGAGATGAATAATGGTCAAGTGCAGTGCTGGCTTTAAAAGCAAGTCTGTTGGGGAACCAGGGCAAGTGTTCTTTCTGTTCTGCCTGGGCCTCCATAGAGCTTCATGATCCAAATGGAAGTGTGTGTCCTGACTTGAGCTAAATTGGATGCTGAGAAGTAAGGACAGTTTATTATATGAAGCTCACTTTCTAGTCGTTTCAGCAAGTATGCATTTAATTTCCCTGAATGGAGGGTGATAAGTAAAGTTTTGGAAGATGAACTTTGCACTGTTACGCAGGATGGATGAGGAAAGGGTAAGACCCTGGCTGGGTGGCACTGCTGAGATCCAGGTGTGACTCGAACATGGTTTTTGTTAAGCATTTTGGGATAAAGTTTTCACTTTTTCTTTAGAGGTCACTGCAGTTTCCACAAGGATAATATTGCTTTGAGACATACCATTTTTGAACTGCTTTGGTTCCAATTTCTCTTGTTCCTAATATGTTTTCTGGCCTCGGGGTGACTGCAGGTGAAATACAGTCCCTCGGCCACTTTCCTTTTTTTTAATTCCCTGATCCCAGTCATTCTTTAAGTCTGCTCAGTTCACTAATTAGAACACAAGAGATTCTCTTTTAGCATAGTCTCAGTCCCCAATTCCTTAGCCTGATAAGCCCCTTGCAGTTGGGAATGGAGGTGTTTGGGGAAAGTTAAAAGAGTTTATTTCTATTCTGGCTGAGACCTGGTATTTATCCTGCCTTGGAAACTGTAAAACAGATCTCGGTTCCTTTCCCTGAGTGGCTGGGCCTCCAGCAACCTCTCTGCCTTCCCCAACCACTGTTGCTGGCATCGCAGTAAGGTATCAGTCAGACGCCTTGGGGATCTCACAGCTGTAGCAGCTGACAGTGTTGCCTTCTTGTTTTTGTCCTTCCCAGACTATAATTCAGGATCCCTATTTACCTGCAGAGAATGGTGGCTCATCTGTCAGCTGTCAGCCTGAAGCTATACTTTTTCACTCTCATTCCATTGGTGCTTATTATTTACTGTTCTGTTTAGCAGAGTATTGTATGGAAACTTTGAAGTTTTGCAGAGAAACAGCCAAGTCTTAACAAAATATCGAGGCAGGGGTGTTCTGATGGGGTGGGGTACAGACTTCACACAGCTGTGTCTCAGCCTTATTGATTAGAGCACACCAGCCCAAATGTCTACGTCTTGGAGGAAACTTGGCACATCAGTCCAAATGCCTACATCTTGTGGGAAACTTGAATGTCAAGGTGGATATCATAAATTTCATATAGTATGGTGGTCAAGGTGAACTATACTTTTCCCCTAAAAGCCTCCTTTTTTTTTTTCCCCCCACAGGCAGAGTTAAGCAGTGAGAGAGAGAGAGAGAGACAGAGAGAAAGGTCTTCCTTCCGTTGGTTCACCCCCCAAATGGCCACCACGGCCGGCGCTGTGCCGATCTGAAACCAGGAGCCAGGTGCTTCTTCCTGGTCTCCCATACGGGTGCAGGGCCCAAGCACTTGGACCATCCTCCACTGCCCTCCCGGGCCACAGCAGAGAGCTGGACTGGAAGAGGAGCAAACGGGACAGAACCGGCGCCCCAATCGGGACTAGAACCCGGGGTGCCAGTGCTGCAGGTGGAGGATTAGCCAAGTGAACCGCTGTGCCAGCCTGAAAACCCTTGCTTTTTATACCACCATACTGCTGATGTTTTCTTGAGATGGAATTAAACACATGAAAGTAAGGATCAAGGATATTTGAAGTAAAAACCAGTATTCCTTTGAAGAAGATTTGGGAAAGCAAAATATGGCCATTATTTTCTTCTCCGTTTATGAATTGAAGAAACTTACCAGCCTCTGTTTTTTGTAAAAAGTCTTCTTTGTCTCCTTCATGGATTAGTTGCTTCCCTACATCACTATCCTATGGCATCCTTAAAGGTTCATCCTCAAAGTTTGGGAACAAAGGAAAATTCCCTAATTTGTCAAATCCTAGAGATTAAAAACATACCGTGGTTGACAATTCCTTGCCCTTTCCATCATGAACTAAGACAGTGAAGTTAGCTCCCTCTAGAGGTGATCACTTGCAAATGTTGTTGAGCAACAATGGGATAGATTGGAAGCTACTCAAATTGGAGCCTGTGAAGGCAGAACCCTCATCCCCAACTCGTTTAGGGGATCCCAGGTGATGTCTGATAACATGAATTCAAGAAAGGGGTAAGCAGAGAGAAGGCATGTAAGACCAAAATAAATGCAAGGTGATATGCACAATCAACTCATTGCCACACGTAAGTAAATAGAATACCACACATAATCCATCCAATTCTAGGGTCAGGTTCCTACCCTTCTATCAATGACTCCCTTCAAAATTTGTCCCAGCGGTATGAATTAAGTAGAAATTTCTGGGAAATATTTAGTTTCATTAAATCTTCTGGGATGATGAGCTTTCACTCTGAGGTCTAGTGCTTAATTACAATATTTGCTTATTCTGACATAGTGGTCTAGATGTGGAAAAAAGCAGACACCAGCAGATGAGCACTTCCTTCATCCTTGAAAAGAGAGGTTTAAATCCCCAAAACACAGAGATCAATATGCCCAAGCAGTTGTAAAAGACTATTAGCACTATTCTCTAATTCTTTTCCCCACATCTGTCATCACCCTGGGTCTTTCCATTCCAAATCTGTATTTTTCAAGAAAAAAGGCAATACAGTAAAAAGAGGTAGAATTTTTTAAAACACAGAGGCTCTGGCTCAATCACTGGAAAATAAGCAAAGTAAGCGGATGACTGAGACCATTAAACACTCCTGCTGTTTATTCTTTTTGTACTCAGGCAAGTGGGCACTAGGGTCTTAGTGTCACTGTCATGTTGTCCTTATGGAAGTTTCCTTTCCTATTTGTTTTAAAATATGATTTGACTTTTTAGCAGTAGAATGAACTTCAGTGTGGTTGGAATATATATATATAATATATAATTACACTGCCATCAGCAGTGAGAAGATAAGAATTCTTCTGAAAGTTGGAGAATTTCAAGATAGCCGAATAGAGAAAAGATGCACTGATTTTGATTATGGG